AGGACCCTGCTCCAGCACAGGATTCCCATGAGGTCACAGCCTATTTTTCAGTCATCCACCTGCTCCAGTGTGGTTCTGCTCCACAGGCTGCAGGTGGATCTCCGCACATTGACCTCTGTGGGCTGCAGGGGGACGTCCATCACCATGGTCTTCATCACAGGCTGCAGGGGAATATCAGCTCTGGCACCTGGAGCACCTCCTCCCCCTCCTTCTCCACTGACATTGAAGTCTGCAGAATCGTTCCTCTCATGTATTCTCACTGCTCTCTTCCTTGATTGCAATTACATCTGTGAAATATTTTTTTTTCCTTCTTGGATATGCTTTCACAGAGGCATTACCACCATCTCTGATTGGCTCGGCCTTGACCAGCAGCTGTTCCATCCTGGAACTGGCTGGCATTGGCTCTGCTGGACATGGGGGAAGCTTCTGGAAGCTCCTCATGGAAGCCACCCCTGTAGCCTCCCTGCTACCAAAACTTGGCCATGCAAACCCAGTACACATGTGAATATGAACTTGAGACACTCTGATGCTTGGGATAGAGAGGTTTGTGGTGAATCATGTAGTGGGTGATATGAACTGCTAAGTTTGGACTGAGATTTGGCCTCATATTTCAAACATCTTAAATCTGAACTGACTCAGTCTCTGATTTCTGATCAAGGAAATTCCTTATTGTTTAACTTTATAATAGACAGAAAATGTTCTAGCCATGAAAAACCTACCTTTCATAAAAGCTTGTAGTATTTTATTTTATATGTTTCCATTGCCATGGAAGTTGCCACAGAATTGACCTCCTGTCTCTGAATTGTTCTTTGTTTCAGCTCCATTTTTTAAAATACATTTTCTGCCATCAAAAAAAAGCTAGAAAGAAATATCAGAATACCAGTTGAAAATAACTCTCTATTCTAGTGTTTTCCAGAATACAGCTCAAGTTATGAATGGCATGAATCTTATCACCAACCATAATAAAGGGCTAATTCTGAAACCTGCTGATGTCATCTTCAACAGCTACTTTGCTTCTTTGGGGTTTTTTTGTGTGTTTTTGTTTTGGTTTTGGGGTGGGTTTGTTTGTTTGTTTGTTTTGTTGTTGTTTTTGTTTAAATGTCATTAAATCCTTTCTTTTCTGTTTGAGGTTAGCTGCAGCTGCCCATTTCCATCTGCGGAAACTCCTCACTTCCTACCATCCTGTCACACAATTCAAAAAATGAAATAAATCTAGTGTCATATTGAAAATGTAAGGGCTAATGTGTACCAATTATCCAGTCAGGCTATCATAATGCACCTTATATGTCCCAAAGGTTTTCTGTGGTGTTTTCATACATGTGATTAATAAACAGAATCTCCGATACACCGAACTGATTTGAATGTAAATGTCATCCCCTTGAAAACACTACTTTTTTTTTTTTTGTCTCAAAAAATTTATAGTTATCATAGTTCTTGCAGCAGCAATCCCATCTTCTTGATACAAGTCAAATTTGAGACCTTATGTCACAGCTCCTCTGTGGACATAGAATATCTTCCAGGAGCAGAAAAACCTTTTACACCTTTATGGCTGGTCATTGCTTGGAGTAGGCTAATACAGAATACATCTGCAAGAGACAGGATCAGGATCCCCAACACTGCAGAGTACATGTGGGGAACTGGAGAAATGTCTGTTTGAGAAGTGACTCAGAAGACACTATCAAAAGGAAAGGTAACAGCCAAAATAAAAACCGCACGCTCTGTGATAAAGGCTGCTTGAAGCAGAAATGTCAGGGGTTTTGGTTTTTATTTTTTTTTACCACTGTTCCGCTTGTCTGTATTTGAATACATGTTAGTGAATGTGGGTTATTTGTTTTAAAGTCTCTTTCTTCCTTATCAAAGGCTGTCTTCTGACTTCACTCTGTGTTTTTGCTGGAAAGCTGCATTTAGTAATGTAAATGTGATTCTTCCCTGTGGCAGCTGCAAAGAGTGGCACAATTCTGTCTGTGCTTGCATCAGTAGTGTATATTAGCACAGAAAGAGAGCAATTGATGGATGGAAGGGATGGCTTAGGGATTTGTACTGTGTTGTGCTCCAATCTTTTCAGCTCTAGGACATCAGTTTGCACCCAGCCCTGGATGAATTCCAGTGTCCCAGCTAGAGGAGCAGAGCAGGACAACCCACAGCTAGTGGGAGCAGGTGAGCAGAACATAAGAATTTGATCAGTCTACTGAGCCTTAGCAAGTAAACAACATTCATCTTTCCTAAGTCTTTGTATGAACACAGTTAAATGCAATGCTAAGTTCGTCCTTTGCACATAGTTCCTTAGCATGCAATGAGATAATGAAATTTAAATGGTGGACCCAGCCTATCAATCAATTTTTGAAGCCTTATCTATTTGTTTTCTGCAATGATTCTTTAAAAAATCAGGCCTGTCAGGTCTCACAGTTTTGGAGAAGACTCCTCTGTCTACTCCAATCCCTTTGTACCCTCCAGTTTGTCCCATACCTCATGTGCTTCCAGCGCAGCATCCTGCAACCTTGCCCTGGCTGATATCTTGCTGTAGTCTGGGGTAAGCTGATTTCACTGCATGGGACTGGGGAGCGGGATGGGGCGTTCCTTGTTTTATTGTGCCGTTAGGATGCACAGTTTCAAATATGTGGTCCTGCTGCACCAGTGAAAGACTTACTATGGAGGCCACACGGAACTGGAACTGTATGCATCGTGAAAGATATGGGAAGGCGTATGAGAACCGGAGATTAAAGCAGTTAAAATTCCCTAGTGTAATTTCTCTGCTTCTTCTTCCCAGGGGAAATCAAAGCCCCTGGGTTTTTTTTTCAAGGCCTACACCTGACTATAAGAATTACAGAGGTTTTGTTTTCCCTCCAGTGAAGGAATGGAAACCATACTATGAACCGATGATTAATCACAAACAAACCAGCAGCTCATGGCTAGAATACTAACTGTGGAATACACAAGCAATGCTTTTGTGATCAATCTGCAAGGGTGTTTTTTTTAAAGGGGGGAAAAAAAAAAGAGCCCTGCCAAAAATGTGTTGAGTATTTTCAAATAATGAGTACATTCGAGGAAATTTTGATTTTGCTCAGGGACCATCTGCGAGCAGAGAAAGGGACTAAATTCTTTCAGCAAATTACTGGCTGCAAATTATTTTCTCAGCACTAGTTATGAATGTTGTAACTGCACAGCTGAAATGTATTATTAAGCTGAGAACTGGGGATTTAGGAACCATAGATTGTGAATTCTTTTCTTTTAGTTTTTTTTTTTTTTTAAGTGTCTCATGGTAAAAGAGACACCTTCAACTGGAACATCATGAGTTTCAAAAGGAGCACCATGAGGTAAAGTATCCCAATATGATGGAGAAGGACAAGTTTTAGACATATTCATATGGGAACATCTGCAGATGTGTAAGGGGCGGAGTCTGGTTACAAAAATGAACTATCTGAGTTGCTGACGTAGAAAGATATTGTAAATAAAATCTGCTTAATGGATTTGAAGAAAGAAAATTTGATGTTTAGGAGCTCAGTCGATTGCTCAACTCTGGAACTGCCACGGCGAGCAAAGCCCTCAGAGGTCACTTCATCAAGGACTTGTTAAAAGTTTCCTCTCTGGCCCCCGTGGAGGGCAACCATTTCATTTCACCAAGGTGGGGAAGTGAGATGGATGGTGGGGTTTCAAAATGGTGCATGGACCATCAGTGTGTTTGAAGTCACTTCCAGGTTGGATACAGTTGCATCACAGAGGTGGGTGGCTGCTGCCAACCCTGTGCCTGGTCTTTTGCTGACCATTGTTCCCAGAGGCAGCATCTAGTGAAATAAAACCTGTGACTATCCACATTCAATATTCAGTTTTTTGAAATATGAGCTTGACATGGAACTGAAATTAACCCCCTAATTTTTGAAAGATGTTTTCTGTTAAAGGATATTCTGGGGAAATGCTTTTGTGTATGTATTTAGCTTTTGATTCAGTATGTATTTTGTTTAGATGAAAATGAAGTGTCTTTCATTTAAATTGTTTCTTTTTCTATTATATAATGTGCCACAGAATACATTTTCTAGAATTATCTAATGAAAAGTAATCTTATGAAGGAAAGCCAGAGATATTTTCCCCCACTCCTTAGTTCCCCAAGAAATTGTGGCTAAATTGACCTAATTTCATGTCAATTTTTTATTTCAGTGGAACAGCGAGGCCTACTGTATTAAGCCCTGTAATCACCACTCACTCACTTTACTGTTAAAAAAAAAAAAAAATCAGATTGCATGTTGTGAAATAATCCCATTATATTTCAGTTAATTGAATCCAGGAATACTTTAATCAAGCTAGGTGTAGTTCAAAATGCGTGCTTGAAGACCTCAGAGGTGTTCAGATCTCAGTACAAATTTTGCAGATTAGTTTGAGCCTTGGAACACCATTTCCAACTCCTGAAGCTTTGGCTGAGCCTCGATGAGTAGGGAAGTGGAGGCAAAATTATGTCACCTCCCTCACATGTGGGTCCTATGCCTTTCTTTGTTTGTGTGGTCTATCTACCATTAGGGACAAGTGCCTGGGCTTGCCATAAGGGATCAGACTCATCACTCACTTCCTAATCTAAACAGATCTGAACAGGTCTCCTTCCCCATTTGGAGTCATAGTTGATTGCAGACAGAAACATTGAAATGTGACCCAAAATCCAAAATTGAGAGTAATTTGTAGTCCTGTGCAGGCGATGGAGAGAATTACCAGGGACATTCCCAGGATTGCTAGTTCAGCGTGAGGTGCAAGAGTTGGGGTTTATTTTAAAATGAAATTCAGCAAGGTTATACAAAAAGTTTTCTAGTTGAACTCCTTGCATTTACTACCTGTCATCCTCACTCTCGCCAAAAGGCCTTTCCTTTTTTTTTTATTTTTTCTTTCTTCTTTTTTTTTTTTTTACTTTCTCCTCTTTTCTCTTTGACTCCTCTTTTTCATGCTCCCTCTCCTTTCTTCCTTTTCTTCCTTGATTTCTTGCAGAAATGAACCACTGAATTTCTTTCTTCCCTACGTTGGATTTCAAGTGTTGAGAGGCTTCTGATCCATGAAAGACTTCAAGGTAGGAGGTCATTTACCGAGACATATATAATGTTGACACTAATAGTAGTATTAAGCATGGCTTTGAAGGAAAGAATATGCCTTCTGGGACCTTACTTCCACAACCCAGAAAGTGACTTTAGTCCTGTGAAACAATGTAGACCCTCCCAAAAGTGTGAGGAAGAAAGTGAAGCATTCAAGTGAAATGTGAACATGTAAGAGTAGGAAGAGAGAGGAGGAAGGAATGAGAGCAGGCACAGAATCATAGATTCACAGAATATACTGAGTTGGAAGGATCCACAAGGATCATTGAGTCCAACCCTTAGCCCTGCACAGAACCATCCCCAAGAGTCACACCATGTTCCTGAGAGTTTCATCCAAACACTTAAATTCTGGCAGGCTTGGTGACCACTTCCCTGGGGAGCCTGTTCCAGTGCTCACCCATCCCCTGAGTGAAGAACCTTTTTCTAATCTCCAGCCTAAACCTGCCCTGACACAACTTCAGGCCATTCCCTTGGGCCCTGTCACTGATCAACACAGAGAAGAGATCAGTATCTGCCCCTCTTCTTCCCCTCACAAGGAAGCTGTAACTGCAATGAGGTCTCCCCTCAGTTTCCTCTTCTTTAGGCTGAACAGACAAAGTGACCTCAGCCTCTACTCATACGGCTTTCCCTTAAGGCCCTTCACCATCTTCATTGCCCTCTTTTGGATGCTACCTAATAGCTTAATGTTTTTCTTATACTGCGGTGATCAAAACTGCACACAATATTCAAGGTGAAGCCACACCACTGCAGAGTAGAATCATGCAGACAGAGGGACTGTGGAAGCAAGGGGAAAGGGGGGAAAGGGGAGAAAGTGATGGGGAACATCAAAAAAGAAAGGGGTGACAGCATGTGGGCACGGGAAATTAATGTAGAAGATGAAGAGAAAGCAAAGAGGTGTGTGTATGTGTGGAGGGAGAGATTAAAAGAGGCAGTAACAAAAAGAAGTGAAGTTGTCTAACATACAGAGATGGGAAGTGACATGTTTGTTTGAATTCTGGGGCTGCTCAGCCTGGCTGCACTGTGGTTTCTGCCTTTGATCAGCTGCATGGCAGGCTGGTGTCAGATCAGAAAGTAAATGAGATGATAAAGCAGCTGAAGCTGCAATGAGTTTAACAGCAGCAGAGTGGCAGGGGGTGGGAGGGAGGAACTATAGAACGAAGTGAATGCTCCCTGTGCTTTAATTCACAGAGTCCTGGCAGTGAATGCAGCTGCCTCCTCTGCTGAGAGGTTGTGAATGGCCAGAGCAAGAAGCTCCCTTGCAGTGGTTCCATAGAAAGGACCTGTCTCTGTGTGCTGGTGCCATTGTCAGTGGTGCTCTTGCCAACTGTAAGCCTGGTTGAAGCAGAAAAGAGGGTTAGTGGGCTGACAGAGTGATTAAAAATATCGATGCCTACTTTAGCTCTGCTTGCTTTCCAGCTTTTGGGTTTGCTGTGGCTGGCAGAAATGCAGGCAACTGTGAGAAGCTTTCCTGTGGTTGGCACTTATGGGTTAGGGGTAAATGGACAGAAAAGGGAGGCCTTGCTCAGGGGAAAAACAGTCACTGTCTCATCAAGCACCTCAAGATGTCACTGGGGTTGACACTGCATTGGGAAACCCCTGCTGCCTTGGAGAAGAGAGGAGTGGGAAGGATTGATTTGTGGGTGGAAATGCAGGACAGTAGAGGAAAAATAGAAAAGACAAGTATCCCCAGCAGGCAGCTTGATTCTGCTACACACTGATTGCATTGCCATTTTCTGTAACTTCTGGCGCAGTGTCCAAGCAGAAAACTTGGAGGTGGGGCCCAGGTCTGGGATGGAGTTGGTAGATCTAATGGGAAATGGAGATGGAGGTGGTGTCTACTGCAAGGTGAAGCAGCGGGGTTTATTGATCAGTGTTCTGAGCACTCTCACTTGACAAAGTGTAAGGTGCCCAGAAAGCATTACCATGCTGATCCATACAAACCCCTTTCCTCCAGTTTAAGTTATTCTGCCTGTTCTGTTAGGTGCCCTTGGATGGACTAAATAAAGGTGATCCATGACAATATAAGTCCTGTTGCAATGAGACTCACAAATACCTACTCACAGCTGGTATGGGGATGTGTGGCTGGGAAAAGAAGATGCTAGGAATTAGGGCTGCTTGTCCCACAAGATTCCTCCTCACCTTGGAAAAGCCTTGTCTCCTCCCACAAGAGGAAGGAAGGCAGGCACCTGTCCTGGCATTGTTAATGATACACCAGACAGATGTTCTGAGAGCGGATAGCTTCATCTCTCTGCCTCATATGTCCCAGCTTATAAAATGGAGTTTAAATTTTCTGTCTTTGTTCCCCTGCATAGGATTACCTTGCTTCATTTTCCTGGTCACAGAATATATTCCAAGCAAGTCGTGTCCTGATTCAGGAATTCAAGTACTCTAAACACTTTCTGGCACAGATACTGGTTTTTTGACAGCTCCATCATGCCATTCCCGGAGTGAGGATTTCTACAGCGATGTTCTGGGGGCGGAGGTTGAAAGAAGTTTAGGATATCACAGAACTAATTAAATGCAAACTAGGCTGCCTGCAGAAAGCTGTGCATGCTGGTTGCTATGTTTCTGGCAGGAACAGACTGGGAGAAGGGGGGCTGAGGGGCTGCTGTTTGTTTTTTCTGTTTAAAATGAAGATGCCGACAAAGTTGTGGTTACTCGCCAGCCTTTGAAAGGTAAATGAAACATGACTTCTTTCAGCCATAGAAATAAGAAAAGTGAGAAGAGGAGGTAGACTTAGAATGGATGAATGTATGGATAAATTAAATAGAAAACGGGAGCAAAGGCTTGTTTTTGTTTGTATTCAAACATTCTTATCTCTGCATTGACATATGCTTTGCCTTCTAGATCATCATATTATTACATGGAGGTTTTGTGCTCTCCTTTCAAAAGAGTTCCTTGTAAATTACCTTGAAATAGAAACCTTTAGAGCACTTGAGGCTTGACAGAAACCTGCATCGTGCCCATGTCTCCCCAGAAGCAGTGGTAAAGTTCACAAGGGCCAGCAGGACTTGGTTTCCTTTTTGAGGGGAAAACTAAAAGAACTAAATGAGAATGCAAACACATATGCATCCAGACAAACTGAATCTGTCCTTATTTCATTAGTCTTCTGTGGGTAATCAGAGGACATGTTAAGCACAGCTTTCAGCTGCTTCACCTGAGCAACACTTGGGGGGATAATTAAGGACTTGCCTGACAGAGCAGAGAGGCAGAAGAAAGAATGAAGGACTTTGAGAAGGGAGTGAATAAGCTAATTGGGATCACTTCAAGAGTGAAGTTGGCTTTGAAGAACACCCACTGAAGGTATTCAACTTGCTGGAACGAATGCATTACTCAAACACCCATGTGGAAATCAGTATTAAACTACCTAGGGCTGCTTTCATGTAAACCCCTAGGAAAAAGAGAACAGATTAGTTCAAAGAACGGGGCTTCAGTGATGCCATGCTATGCTTTAGACTTCATCCTGGATCTTGGCGCAAGCTGGCCAGTGACAGAGGCCAGAGGGAACAACAACCACCAGAGACAGCACAGGATAGGGAAGGAGTTTCAGGCACCTCTCAGTCAAGTGTTCAGCTCAGGAAATCCAATCAAACACAGGACAAGTTAGAGCTGTACCAGATGGTTTGAGATTGATGAGAGTGGCAGCTATAAATGTGGGGGACAGGGTGCCAGGTGTACTGAATAAGGATGGCCAGGATGATTTAGAGACAGTGTGCCACCTGTCACAAGCAAGGGATGTCCGACCAGCTGGCAACCTCTGCCGTGACATCCCAATGCACATGTGTTAGAGGGTAAGCACTTTATGCTGGTGGTGAGGCAGGACAGTATGCCAGCAGGCAGGGCTGCCTGAAAGCTGGTCCAAGTGCTAGCAGAGTGTGCTGGCACACTGCAGCTGACCTCACAGTGCTGAGGAGAGGAGAGCATTGACACAAGGGAAGGGCAGGTTGACGGTCCAGGACTTTACCCAGGAAGGGAGTTTTTCTGCCTACCCTTGCTCCTTTTGCCACATAGCTGGCACTGACTGAGTACTCAGGACACAGTCACAGGCCCTTGCTTCCCCTTCCGTCCCTGACTGCAGCCCTTTGCTATGTGAGCAGTGGCAGTGTCCCAGCAGGGAACTGGGAGCCCAGAAGACAGAGAATAGGGTGGTTTAAACTCATGGTTGGCATGTCCAAATGGTTGAGGGCGTAGACACAATTGCAAAGGGCTTCTGGTCATGTGGAGAAAGTGTTACATTGGCAACAGGCATTACAGAGAGAGGGTGGGAGCATTTCAGAAGAGCACAATGTCTGCTGCCTTCCCCAAAGTCCCTAGCAGAGAAGGAAGGTAGTAAACTCTCTATTGCTCTCCACCTGGCAGAGGCTGCACCCATTACACAGCCTGAAGCCAGCCCCTTCCTGCTGGAAGCCTCTTCCTCTTAATGATAGTGCACTGTTCTAACGAACGACAATTTCTGTGACAGCACAAAATAAATGGGGAACACTCTCAATCTGAAGTTTGTATTGAATTAAATATTACAGCATTGATTGGGTTATTCATTTAGCATCTCACTCAATAAACATCTCTTGCAGTGCATGTTTCTCCATTTATCTTACCTTGTCGTGGAACCTGTGCTTACCCACCACGCTTGGCACTGCTGCCTGGCTGAGGCGGGGAGGAGGGAGGATGCACAGCCCAGGAAAGCTTAGTTCAGCATTTCTTCCAAAGAGTGAGAACTATGCTTGGGAGTCACAAAATAGACCAGAGCTCTGGTCCCGGGGAGGAGAGGTTCTCGCTCCTGTCATAGCTGGATAAAGTCAGCACAGGTTTCCAGGGTCTCTGCTGAGCTGTGACTCAAACTCAAAACTCAGGACAACTGAGACATGGGGAGAGCAAATAACAAGGAAAGCTAAAGCAGTGCCAAAGGCTTCTCTATAAGCTGTGCACATGTTTTCTCTTGGGGCTCTTATTTTAATGCCCCATGTAAGTCATTTTTGTAGCTAAAAGAGTGCAAAGCCTAGTCTGATCCTGTTACTTAATCAGCAACATTACAGGAGGACCAGAGCTATTTTAAACTTCACCCCTTAGAAAACACTTGCAAAGCTAGAAAGCCCCATAAAAATGTCAATGCAAATGCAAACAGTGATTTGGGTATAGGCAGTGAATCCACTTTCCTAGGCACAGAATGGACATAGCCTGTAAAATGCTTGGCAGGCTTTTGGGTTCCGTAAGTAATCCAGGAGCCATTCTGGGAGATGGAATGCAATTACTAGGACTAGTTGATACCAATTTATTTAGTGAATTTGCTCTATTCTGCTCAAGATCTGATCGCAACTGCCCAAATTTGTTTGTTGTTTGTATTTGTTCATTGAATTATTTGTGCAGGTAAATTATAGCCTATTAATCATGTTTATTATGACAGTGCCTAGGGATTGACCGAGAATGCACCCCCTCTACCTGTTTTCTGAGTAATGTGCAAAGACAGAATAATAGGCAATCCCTGGCCTCATTTATGTTTGAATTGAGTGCTTTGATTATTTGCTATTTGTCAGTTGTTGGCCATTTAAGTTGTTTAGCATTCTTTATTTTTCCTTAAACCTGATAACATAAGCTCTTCAAGTAAGAATTAAATGTTACAAACAAATCACTGGAGCTTTGGTTTTCTTGGAAGGTAGGTGGTGGGTTGGGACAGTGGAGGTGAGAAAATTTACTAAGAGGAGAGAGAAGGAACAGTTGGACACCAGTTTTTCCAAGTAGCTGCTTGCCTTGCTAAGTGGGGGAGTGGGAGAGCTGAATGCAGTAATGACCTTGTGTTCCTTCTTCTCCCATCACGGTGCATTGTTGCATCTAGCTCTATAACAATAACTCAGTATGTTGTAGCTTAAGCTGAATTCTTATTTGGTTATTTAAATAAAGGAACTCAAAGCTGGTGTCTCATACTCAGCTCAGTTCTCCCCCTTTCAGCCATTGACACTCAGCTCTCCAGTCACTGATGTCACTCCTTGGTAGTACAGATCTTCTGGAACACTCTTTGCTGCAAAAGGTAAGGCTGCTGTATGGGTCTGAAGATATTTTTCCCAGCAATAAGACATGTTCCTACAGCATCTGAAGGTTTCCTAAAGCCACTTTTCTGTCTGTTTTCCTCCCTACTTCCAACATGGGTTGCAACTGAGTCTTTTCCTGAAGTTTGCTTTCTGAAGTGACCCTCTAACTTTCCACCATGTTACGGTACGCTCATTGCTCTCTGTTATCTACCCCTCTTTCTTATTTTCTTTATTTTCCATGCTTATTCCATTTACTTCTCAGCACCTTATAAACATGGACATACAAATCTGTGCCCTGAACTTGATTAAATTTCTTTTTTCCTCTCCCCTCCCCTCCCCTCCTCTCTCTTTATTTTTTTTTTCAGTGAGTAATTTAATCTCATTTCATCTTGGTCAGATGAAGATTCTTGAACTGAAATTCTCCTGAATATCAAAGGAGACCAAAAAGGTTAAACCAAAGTCATGTCTAGGGAGTTCCTGTTTACCAGTTTTTCACATAAAGCTGACCTCAAACGAGATTTTTTGCCAATAAAACATAAGAAGGAAAAACTTTTCCACCTAAAATTTTAAACTGGATCTCCACTTTCCTCACCATACTTCAAATATTTTTCCTTAACCTTGCCAAATTAGAAATTAATGCGGTGGTACAGCTGGTTGGTTAGAGGTTGGTGCTAATAATACCAAGCTTGCAGCTTTGATCCATGTATGGGCCATTCACTTAAGAGCTCAACTTGCTGATCCTTGTGGGTCACTTCCAACTCAGAATATTCTCTGTGTGTGTGTGTAATAGTGGCAAGTGAAGTTCTTCCGTTCTTCATCTTAGGACTTATTTCTAAACAAGACTCTCTCCCAGAGGAGAACAGGGTAAAGTTCAACCCCCACGTGGCCCTGAGTCAGCTTCCAAGGCATAACACTGATCATTTTCTTCTTAAATTTTAGTTAGTGAAAATCCCAGGGTTTAGTTCAAGGAAAAAAACCAGTCTTAATGTTATGTTTTTGGTTTTTTTTTTTACCCAGATGTTATTAAGATCTTTGACAACCTCTTGTATTAAACAGTAGAATTCTACTAGGTGTAGAGGTCAGATCCTTAAAGCTTGTATGGTCCTTAGGTTTTATTCTTCTCTTCCTCTCTTTTTCTCTGGCATACAACTGACCACAGTGAAGCTTTCTTTGACAGTTTTCTCATGCTCAGTATTTATCTCTCCTCCCACGTATTTCAACACCCCAGTTTCTTTTCCAAATAAACAGTGATCCTCAGGGAAAGCAGAGAATCGAAGCTGAGAGGGAGGATTAGTCCCAGAGGATGCCATGATCAGGTGAGTTCTCAGTTTGAAGTTCTGGGCTGCATTACCTGGTGGACTTGAAATAATTGTAGGTATGGAAGCTTGACTACAATGCATTGTGGTTTAAATCCTTTTGTGTTTACAAACCAGGAGTCACTGTAGCTACATAACACAATGAAATGTGCACACTGAAATGAGTAAGTGCTCTTTGTCTGGAGAGGGAATAGAAGCATTTCAAATTATCAATTTGAAGAACAGTTCTTCCCGGTGCTTATTTGATTTTGTTATACATATACAAAGTATTCAAGCTAAATGCCTTTGCTAGCTCAATTACTACAGTTTACTTACCAAGGCTCTGTTAAATGCTTTCAAGCACAAGTCCCTTCAGTACTATTAAAGACACTTTCCATTTCTGTGATACTGTATTAAGCTTCACACTTCCACTCCCTAGTGGACTTTGGCTTGTAACTGGATCCTAATACATCCTATTATACAAACCAAAGTGATCAAGCAGAGCTGTGCTGCAGAAGAACTTTTAGAATCCACTTTTCTGAATTTCTTGAAGCAGTCAATTTGGTGCCACTCCTCATTTCCCAAATTTTCCCCAAAGTCAGCCATAAGTCTGGCTATTTTACCTGGCACCATATTTTTCACTTGTTCACTGCATCTTGGTTAACATGGTGGCTGGGATGAGGAGAAACACAGCACAGGCTCCTCTAAGGAGACACTCTGACCCAGTTACTGTGCAAGCATTTGATCCTGTGCTCTCAGGTAATACCACAGGCAGTCAAGTGAATGGCCAGCTGTAGTTGTGAGGGAATACTGACAACAGGAGAAAAAGGGAATTCCAAATTCTTTTTCTGAGTCTGTGACAGAGCCCTCCCATAATATCTGTGGCCAGTTCTCCCCTGTGTGAAGAAGAATGAAGCTATATCCCTTGCTGCCCAATAAATCTCTGGTGTAGTTTCCCTTGTGCCTCAGGACCAACTTTTTGTTGGCTCATGGCTCAGAGCATTAGCTCTTTGCAAACATGCTGCTACCCATGTGATTGCTCACATACATCCCCACAGGGGCTTCATGTTTTAAATTTAAAAACCTAAAAAAAAAGAAAAACAGATGAAAATTTATGCAGGTAGTCACTAGTCACTGTACTGTGTCTCATAAAAATCCATTGATGAGAACTAGGCTGCTGTATGACTTTAATGACTAAAGCAGTGGAGGGAAAGCAATAGACAATAGTACAGGTAAATTCTTTAGTCTGTGCTTCCTAAAATACAGTTTTCCTGGGGGGCCCTCCATGTTTTCTAAAGCGTGGGCCACCTCCTACTTGAGAAGCTGCCTTACAAATGCCTCCCCTTCCATTCAGAACCACAGGGAATGTGTTTCTTCTCATTGGCAATGTAATAATACCCCTGTGACAACTCCAGTGATCACTTGCAGAAGGAAGTCATATGCTGAGGGTATTTAGTGTATTGTTAACATGTTTAAATGTGATTTAGCAGCTGGAAACAAGGAAGAGAAGCTGGAAGCACAAGACCATCAGAGCTGCATCGGCTGTGTTTAACATCTGTGAGCTCAGAAATGAAGGGAAGAAAGAGATTCTCGCTGACAAATTCTGCCACAAGACAAATGAGTGGCTATGTTAAAACTGCTTGGATGACGTTTCCCTTTTCTACATGCAACTGAATACTACCTACCTGTGCAGAGGTATCTCCATGGCACCAAACAAATAAATAAATAAAGTAAACTACATAATATCTACTTGGAAAGAGAAATATGTCCTGTTTGTAATGCAGACTAGATGCATTTGCCATGTAAGTTCCTCTGAAACATTCCCCGAGGCAAAGAGTCTCTTAACTGAAGAAAAACTCCAGACTACACCTCAGACAGTATAAGGCAGGTTGTGGTCTGCTTTTCAGGGAGGTCCAGATACAAAATAGAAATCTTCCCTGAAAAGTCCAGGAAAAAAATCCAGTTTGACCAGAAAATCATCCACTCTGTCAGCAGACAAGCAGAAAAGGTTAACTCCATAGCATGGGACTCGGGCCACCTCACTAATTTCCTCTGTTGTCTATGTCATCCTATAAAATTATGGTAATCCAGTGGACAGAGAATGTTTCAAGGAAGCCTCCACTTGAAATTGCTAGTACCAGTCCACTCACCTCTGAGATCCTCCTACCTGCACTACATGTGCCCCACCACAGCATTATCCAGGTACCTTCAGGAAGGAGACACATCTGCCCCCTTGCTTTGCTGTAGCAAGTCAGGTGAGAGCACCACGAAGAAATTCCACTCTGGAAGCTGCAGCCCTCAGCTGCAAACAGTCAAACACACAACACACTGTACAGGAGGGCTGGGAAGCTACAGTAGGCTGAACCAGCATTTGGGGTTTTGTACTTGGATGGCAAAAATGCCAGTCACACAGTGGCAAGCTGCTGATACAGTGCAAATCCACACTGATAATCAGGGCACGTTGATGGGGAAAATGTTTCTGCAGGCTTTGCACTGGAACAGAGATTGCCTACGCATGTTCTTTTAATATTAAACCAGATCGTTTGGTGTCCTGTTTTCTCATAACTGTCATGAGGCAGGCATGCACCCCTCATTGCATGCACAAGCGATGTGCCTCCATGTGCCAGTGCCTGGTTCAGATCACATTTACATAACTGTATTCAGTGGTACTGTACAGATATGGTACTGAAAGGATGCATGTGCACAGCTTGAAACACTGCAATATTAGCCCTGCTCTCTACTAACAGCAGTCTGGAAAACCTAAATCTGAGGGGCAGAGAGGCAGCTTTTACTTTTACTAGTGTAGCAACATAAAGCCATTTGTGATGGTGGAGAATCCCTTCCTTAGGTTTGCTGAGGCTTTGTGGCGTTGCATTGCTAGAATAAGCCTACAATGTGGGTACCAATCTGTAGCAGTTATACTGGTATAAATTACCCAGGCAGTGGAGAAATCTCATTATTCATGCTTCCTTCAAATACCACTCCCAATTTTCAACCCTTGTCTTCCTGTTGGCTATTTGATATTCCCAGAGTTCTTGTTTTTGTTGAGCATGAACACTGACAGAAATTCATCTCCAACCAGAGAATTTGCTTCCCACAGTGGGAAGGCAGTGAAAATGAGCCTAGATTCCCAGGCAAGTGACAAGCAAGGCAGGAGGGCAGCAGGTCCTTGTGAGGTCCCGTGCCCAAGCCCTTCCCTCCCATCCTGGGGACCATCAGTAAGGAGGCAGTTTAGCCAATACATATTTTCCTCTTTAGTGCATAATGGTAACCTGAATAAAAGGTTTGAATTACAAAGCAGGCTAACCCAGCACATTCTCTGAGCAATGACTGCCATTTGTGTCAAGAAAATAAAGAAGGAGAGAGCAGGCTGGCGCACATGGGCAAGAGTGACTGAGAGTAAAGCAGAGCGTCGATTGAGGCAGCAGGCTGGAAGTGAGAGGCTTATCCTGCTGAAACAAAATTAAGAAAAGCCACAACGACAAAGGAAATTTGATTAAAAAAAAAAAAAAAAGTAGATTGTTATTATTGGAAAGTCGAGTGCTTTGTTCCAGCAACAAAGCAATATCGTTCACAAAAGCCTAATAACTGTTGCTTGTCTTCCCCTTTGCTGCGGCTTCTCGCCTGCTTTGCCAGTCCCCAGAGCCAGCTGGTGAACCAGGGCCAGGGGAGGTGTGGAGGGCATAGGAGTGGGCTGTGGGGTGGGAGAGCTGTGGGGCTGAGGCAATGAGCATCCCCATATAGCTCTATAAGGATCACATTCTTCCTCTCCTGCTGCCTCTTCTCGTGTCTCTCACTCAGAGCCTTTGCCTTTCTCTTTCCCTGCTCCTCTGATGCCCTTCTTCATCCCTCTCTCCATCTTTCCCTCCCTCCTTCCCTCTCTTCTCCAGCCTCACCCTATTTTTCCCTTTCTCTGCCACCTCTATCTCCTCTCCTTTTTCCTCTTCCCTGTCACTCAGCAGTGCCTCTCCTTTCCCCACTTCCCTCTCCTCCTCTCTCTCCCTGGCTGCGCTGGGTTACTAATGTGCAGTAATGGTATGGCTGGAAAGTCATTTGCGCTCCCCTTCTCTTTATTTTTTTCCTGCAGTATTATTAAAACTGTTCCATCACTGGCTGTAATGGGAGCGTCTGTATTTTCTCCCTCTCCTGTATCCCTGACATGACATAATGCCTGCCCTCACCAAGACGCTATAACACCGAGGTAATTGAAACATAACTCACCGTAAATTACAGGCCGTTGTTCCAGGCAGGGACCCGGCCATGCTTCCTGGAGCTCATTCCAACTGGAAGCTAAACATTACTTGAAAAGGGATGCTTAAGCAAAACAAAGCCACTTAAAGAGCAACACAAACATGGAGAGGGAGGGGAGCACAGGACTTGGGCTTTGCTGGAGAGGTGGGGTCCCACCTGTGTGGCAGCTGATGGGACTGAGCAGTCAGCAGGCGACTGAGGTGATTTCTCTGTGGTCTGTGCATACCAAGTCGGGGGCACTGGCACTTGAGGTGTCCTTGCAGAAGCAAGTGTCAGCATCAAATAAGCATCTCTGTTAGGAGAGAGGCTGAGGACAGAGTGGGCCATGTAAATGACTTCTTAGCTAAAAAGTGCATCAGGCAGATCTAGGTGCAAGACTTTGATGGGATGCCTGCTGAATCTCTGTACTCTAATGCCCATTGCAGGTGTGGTAACCTGGGGCTCTGTCCATACCTATGAGATCTGAGTTCTTCCTGACAGTGATAAGGCTGCAACCTCCAAAACAAAACACCCAAATCAACATGGGCTGCAGGATCCTAAATGCTGCAGAGGGCATCCCTCCCTCCCCATTCATAAACCTAGCAACAAATACCTGTATTCAGAACAGAGTATTTGCTGACCCTGAGACTTGAAAGACCTTGGGCTCTTGAATGTCATGGTTTTAGATCCAGATGTCCCACTCATCTCCTAAATAGGTTCAGGTAAGTCACTTGTATTTCCTCTGTGCCTCAGTTTCCCATTCTGCAACATGGGACACAGCACTTTCTTCCTTTGTCAAGCAGCCAGTGACCCTGTTATAGGGCATGAGGGAATGGCTTTACACTGAAAGACAGTAGGTTTAGATTGGATATTAGGAAGCAATTCTTTATTGTGAGGGTGGTGAGACACTGGAACAGGTTGCCCAAAGAAGCTGTGCATGCCCCATCCCTGGAAGTGTTCAAGACCAGGTTGGATGGGGCTTTCAGCAAGGAAGGTGGAAGATATACCTGCCCCTGGCAGCGGGATGGAACTAGATAATCTTTAGGGTCCCTTCAAATCCAAACCATTTTATGATTCTATGATTCTATATCCCAACGATGTACTGAAAGCATATGATGGTGAGGGAGGGGTGATTATCCCATTGCTGATGTCAGGAGTGTAAGCTGCCAGGAAACATTATTTTGCAGTCAGAAGATAGATCTGAAAAACATGACCACTGTCTTTTGTCTTTTGGTTTTGGCTCTATCTTTGACTCGTTCTGCACCCATCAGCAAGTCCCTCTGTCACCTTGTGAATCAGCTGCCTTCACCCCCACACCCTGTAGTATCACCCAGAGAACTGTGTTTGGGTGTGTTCTATCACCTCTTGAATCATGGGAAATTTTGAACAAAATGAAGAAAACCCAGAATGTGCAGTGATTTTTCTATAGTAATAGAAGTAAGTATTTGGAAACTTTGAAAAGGTCAGGATTAAACAGAACAGCCTATCTCTCACAGGCACAAATTGGGGTCTGCCCAGGGCCTTTCCATTTATTGTCAGTGGACAATGTGGCCCAAATATGTGCCATGGTGTCATGTGGCTGGTGTCGTAAGAATAACAGAGTCTTGTGAGAAACAACCCTCAGTGCAGCACTTCGCAAAATACAAAGGACTCTATTTTAGGGAATGAGATTTACTATTTGTCCAGGATGAAATAGCAAAAACTCAGGGAGCTATGACCCTGTGACTGCTCCAGTTTTCCCTGGAGACCTTCACAGTCAAAACTATTACAGTCATCAACCTAGCAACTGCTGTGCAGTGCCCTGAAAAAGCCCATGGACCCCCTTTCAGAGCCAGCTTCCTGGCAGTCTGAGACAAGTCCCCTTGGTGTGATGTTGTGTGGTGGGTGGGTCTACCAGGGCTGTATCTTGTGCATGATGCATGGGCTTGCAAGCAGTGACTTCAGAGCCACAGGTGACGGGTGACACAGCTGCAGAAATGAAGCCTTGGTGGAGGCTGCTTTGCAGTGTTAAGTGATGCATGTCTGAAGCAGTTCTGCTAACAGAGAGTGGACTTGCTCCCGAGGTCACAAGGCTGCCCCATGGGTTCCCCTTGCTCCTACCCAACATTGTCTTCACTTCTGCTCTTTACACCTATATGGGAGAGGAGAAGCCAAGGAGCAGTACAAGGTAACAAAATATTGTGTGGAAAGTCTTGCAAGAGGCCATACCCTCTGCCTTCTGGCATGCCATGGGTTAGCACCTGAAGCAAGTCGATGTAGCATCCCATGCCATCTGCTTGGACAGTTGCAGCAGTAGCAGTGTAGAGCTGACATAGGTGTGTGGTCTCCCACCCCTTGCTTTTCTTGGTGCCTGGTTGGAACTGATTACTTTTTCTTAGGCCTGCCACATGCCCATTGAAAGTGTTTCCATCAACCCTCTTACCGTAGCTAAGGTTCCAGCAATCTCCCCCCTCCTCTCTTTGACATTATTGGTTTATCTTTGTCCACTGGCAAAGTTCCCGAGCAATT